TTACGATTGAGAATATGCTAAGGTCCCTCCCTCCACCAACCAACTAAAAACAACCCACACTTGACTTTGAAAACGTAAAGAGTCCCTCCTACCTTGATTCGCAAACAGCCCATGGATTCTCTACAAAAACATGGGGCACCCACCAACCCTCCTACCCACTTGTCGTCTCTATATATAGATATTCAATATTTTCAGTTTCCCTCCTCACAGGTTTCCATCTTCAAACATGGCTCATCTTCTTTTCAGCAAAGCAACTCTTGGCACCACCCTCGCTCTGTTACTTATTCTTGCACTAACCGAAAGCTACTCTAATTTCTCCACCCAAACCCTCCTTTCAGTCGCCATTGCCCCAGTACTTGCTACCATCTGCTTCTTGCTGCACACCATTTCCACGTCTTCCGCTGCCCTCCCTCCGGGTCCTCTCTCTATTCCAATATTTGGGAATTGGCTCCAAGTTGGTAATGACCTAAACCACCGCCTTCTAGCTTCCATGGCACAAAAGTACGGCCCAGTGTTCCTCCTAAAACTGGGCTCAAAGAACCTGGCGGTGGTCTCAGAGCCTGAGCTAGCCACCCAGGTGCTGCACACACAAGGCGTCGAATTCGGGTCCAGGCCGCGCAACGTAGTTTTCGACATTTTCACAGGCAATGGACAGGACATGGTGTTCACGGTTTACGGAGACCATTGGCGCAAAATGCGCAGAATTATGACTTTGCCGTTTTTCACAAACAAAGTTGTGCACCATTACAGTAGCATGTGGGAGGAAGAAATGGACCTGGTGGTTAGTGACCTGAAAAAGGATGAGGAGTTGGTGAAGAGCAAAGGGATGGTTATCAGAAAACGTTTGCAGCTGATGCTTTATAATATCATGTACAGGATGATGTTTGATGCCAAGTTTGAGTCACAGGAAGACCCCTTATTCATGGAGGCAACGAGATTCAATTCGGAGAGGAGCCGCTTGGCTCAGAGTTTTGAGTACAATTACGGCGACTTCATTCCATTGCTCAGACCATTTCTAAGAGGGTACCTGAACAAGTGCAGGGATTTGCAGCGCCGGAGGCTCGCCTTTTTCAACAACTATTATGTTGAGAAAAGAAGGTAATCCATCAAGTGATTTCCTAGTTAATTTTCTGGGTATTTTAATCGGGTTTTGAATTAATTGTTTACAGGGAAATAATGGCTGCTAATGGGGAGAAGCACAAGATCAGCTGCGCTATTGATCACATCATAGACGCTGAAATGAAGGGAGAGATTAGTGAAGAAAATGTGCTCTACATCGTGGAAAACATCAATGTTGCAGCAATCGAAACCACTCTGTGGTCGATGGAGTGGGCTATAGCTGAGCTGGTGAACCATCCTAGTGTTCAGCACAAGATTCGCCAAGAGATCTCGCAGGTCCTGAAAGGAGAGGCAGTCACAGAATCAAACCTCCATGAATTGCCCTACCTGCAAGCCACAGTAAAGGAGACGCTAAGGCTACACACCCCGATTCCATTGTTGGTGCCCCACATGAACCTTGAGGAAGCAAAGCTTGGAGGCTTCACCATTCCTAAAGAGTCCAAGGTGGTAGTCAATGCCTGGTGGTTGGCCAACAATCCCAAATGGTGGAAACGTCCAGAGGAATTCAGGCCAGAGCGATTCTTAGAAGAAGAATGTGGTACGGATGCTGTTGCTGGCGGGAAAGTTGACTTTAGGTACTTGCCATTTGGAGTGGGCAGGCGTAGCTGCCCGGGAATCATACTCGCACTGCCAATCCTGGGCCTTGTGATCGCCAAACTGGTTACCAATTTTGAAATGAAAGCTCCCATAGGAACAGACCAGATTGATGTGAGTGAAAAAGGCGGGCAATTCAGTTTGCACATTGCAAACCATTCAACGGTCGCATTCAGCCCCATAGAGGTTTGATCTGATGGGATCCCGTGTATCAATGGGATAACAAGCAATAAACTTTTTCATTTCCATACTATTTCACTGTAACTATTGAACCATGCAAAGTTGCTGAAAGAAAAGGTTTCCCACATTGTATTGATTTCTTCACCTCTACTTCTCCTGTATCAATGGGATTGTCGGTTTCAATTCAAACAGATTTGTTCAAGGACCCTCTTCTCTCTGTTTCAATGCAAAGCCCATTCAATTCAACCAATGCTAACAAGAGAGTCTAGGCCTCAGAGGAGTAATTGCAATGCTCATCTTCCTCTTTTCCTTTTTTAAAATAAAATCTATTTCATATTCACAAAATTTTCGTTTGAACAATATATGATATCATGGGCATATCTGTTACAAATCGAATATAACAAAAATTAGTGACTACAATTAACAAAACTTAGAGCTACAGTCCCTTAAGTATAGTCTAAAATGGGAAGGAAAATAAGGGGGCAGGGGAAAAAATTGTAAAGACAAAGAGGAGAAATCTAAGATGTCAGCATATGACAGAGCATAAGACAACTGAAAACTTGCATGGTTGAATTCCGTAACGCAAGTAGCCTGCCAAAAACACACATTTACAGATAAAGGGAGTTTGCAAACATGATGCCTCGCCGTAGGCTCTCACTTGCTGCAGCAAATTTCTTCTCCAAATTAACTTCTCCGACGGCTTCAGCAGCAGCATGCAGCTGAGTACAATAAAGTACAACTTAAGAGGCATCTTCATTCAAATCTGAATGAATTAAAGAAACAGAGCAAAGCCAAATTTACATGCCCACCCACCACAATCTCTCATAAACATTCAATAGGGACTTTTTAAGTTGGTATACCCACAACTAGGGCAGGCAATTCATGTTGGCAAGTCATTATTGTGTTTGGTTGAGATGGGATACAAGATATATACGGGTCTACACAAACATGAAATGATTAAAGTTTCATGTAAAAAACCTTGGCTCAAACACATGTTTATTAAGCAGGTTATGCGATATGACAAACACGTCCATTAAACAAGTATCAAAAGTTCTAAAGACAAGCTATAAAGACACTCATTACCCATTTAAACTTAGATCAAAATATAATCAGATATCAAAATCGAAATTCAAGTAAGTGAATTATGATTGTACTTACAATACAATAAAAATCAACGGAAACAGAATTTATTTTATTATGATATAAAATGATAAAACGCAAGTCAAATTTAACATACCCAAAAAGAAACACAATTTGAAGCATTTTAAGCAACAAAAATAAAGAGATTAACCCGTTCCCTTCTCTACATCTTGATTGTATTTAAAAGTTAACAATTGGGGAGTGACATCATAAAAGGAAAAAAAAAGCAAAAAAAAGAAAAAAAAAGAGAAACTTGTATATATAATCAACAAAATTACTTTGCCAAAATTGAAGGAATTCCCTTTTTCAAAAGGAAGAACAAGAAAATGCTACTAGAATATACTGCCAAAAAGGTGAAAAGTAAATCAATAGCTAATGTCATTAGTAGACATCTGAAAATAAAAACAAAACAAGATAAAAACAACCTCCATATATATATATATGCATAATAAAACACCATCAGTTTTATTCAAATAACAAAACTTTCACAACCACAATTCAAAGCATTTGAAGAAAATATGTTCTTAAAACCGGGAAAAAAAAAGGTAAAAAAATGTTTAGACACTTTGAAGGGGTGAAGGACGAGAATTATATCAAAGTGGAGGGATTGGTGGAGGGAGAGAGAGTGGGAGGAGAAGATGAGATGGGTCTGTTAGATTGAGGGTAAGGCTGTGATGGAAGAATGGAGAAAGGAGCAGATTGGCATCTTACATAGATGTGTTTTTTTCAGATTTGAGAAAAGTGAAGTATCTATTCTGGAAATTTCTTCATTTGATCACCATTATTATCTCTACAATTCAAATAAAATAAATTAAAGTCCAATTCTTCAAACTATTCATTTTAATGCTAAAATAGTCTTTATGAGCCCATATGTAAACAGGCATAAGCAGGTTAGAGGGTATAAGCTATATAAGTTGACACTATTATTAGTTAAAGGGTTAAGTGGGTCGTCAATTCAATAGGTAAGTTGAGCTGTCAAAAATATGAAAATTTTTGTATCATAAGCAGGTTGACACGAATATGATCCAAAAATGATTAGACAAAAACCTAACTCACTTATTGGTGTCGTTTTATCAGGTTGGGTCAAAAATTACCAACCTTATGAAAGTACTAGTTGACCATTGGGAAATAATGGAAAACAAAGAAATAAAGTTCAATAAAGAAACCCCCAAAACCGTGTTTCCAAAATCCAATGGCAAAAAATAAAAAACAGCAGAAGAGAATGTGTATTAGTATAATGTGGGAAGGGGTGATGGGGCATAGTGGAGGTTCTAATTATTGTACCTGGTTCAGAAACTCATCAAGTCTTCTAGCACTCCTAATAATGCTACCTTCAAATATATCAGTCATCTGTGTTATCTCTGCAAAAGTTGCACCCTGAGGAACAATCAAGCAATGACCTAGATTAATAGTCCATGAAAAAGAAATGGAAAACTGAAACAACATGCCCAATCAGAACAGGCACCTAGACAGACATCTGTATAAACATTACTGATGGCAGAACTATAAATCTGATAGAAATGCATGACAGAGAAAGAATGCAGAGACAATCAGATAAGAAGATAGTGGAATTAATTTTAAAACGAAGCCACTCGCAAATTGAACACAACACAGAAGCAGCAACTTTTTCCTCGCAGAACCAATTATGTAGAGCACTAACCTTTGACCAACAATAAATCACATCCATCAAGAATGGCCTTACTGTTGATTCTACATACTCGTCAACATTTACATCCAATTTGCATTCATGTTGTATCTGCAACCATTAAGAGATCATTCAAATTATTTTGTCTATGGTCAATTAATAACATACATGAACAAGAAAAATTGACAGATGAAGAACCTCTGCTATTTTTCTTGCACTTTCTTGGAGTTGCTGTAACGGTTTAGCAATTTCTGTCCTCAACTGTATTTGTTCACTTGATTTGTCTACTGGAATGAAACAACTTGCGAGGGCAGCTACTTGGTGATGATCAAGATCATTGAAGGTACCTGATAAAAATTTTGTTCAAACTTCAAACACAACAGAAAATTCAAAAACACTGGATGCCAAGATTTGATACTCAGCCCTAAAATACAAGCCATGAAAATCATATAATGTTTAAGATTCAAAAAACTCCTTAATAATGCATGGAAGTTAATTTAAATATTGGATAATTTCACAAAGAACCAAATTAAGTGCAAGTTTCATTCAACCTCCTGCAATATGAAAAAAAATCCAATATTTTGTGTTATTAATTATTAGAGTTTATCAGCAAATATCTGAAAACAGCTTTCAATATGCTTATCTGATATCATATTTAGATGTATTTAAGAAAAAAAAAAGTGAGTGTAATAGTTGTCTTTTCAATTTTTGATATTCTTTCTTATCATTTTTTTCAGTTTAATTAGCAAATATATGTGCATACTCATGGGCATTTCCCTAAAGAAAAATATTCCCTCCATCCTACTGTCTTAATGCTATTTGTAACATGCACAAAGTCCTAAGATAGTTGTGGCTATAAATCAGTAATCAATGCTTATTCATTAGTAATAAACAAAAATCTCAGCACGATCCAAAATAGAAAGATGGATTAACATCAGGTGGTGGAGTTCATGAATATAGATAAACAGATTAAATTCATTTTTAAAAAATTTCTCTAGAAGAATCACATGGACACTTTTTTTTTTGTAATTACTACTAGAATTACAATATTTAAATTATTTAATTTTTAAAAAAAATTTGATGACACTAAGTCATTATAAGAAATCTTTAAAAATAAAATGTATTTTTCACTTTTCAATAAACAATTAAAAAAGTTTGGGTTAGCAGCCCTTCCATGAAATGAAATTCTGACCAGGCTAGCATCTCTAGAAAAGCCTCTGCCCACCTGGCGAGGAAAATACATAGCCTTATTTGATAAGATAAGACCCTTTGTACCACAAAAAGGATTGGGCAACAGTAGTTGAAACTCACCATTAAACATCAGTTCTGTAACAAGCAGTTCATCTCCAGTGTCTATCAAGCAGGCTGCCCGTCCCTTTAACTGGACAACACCATCAGCATCAATATGGCCTAGCTTCTTCAGTACCCTTGAACGGTTCCTTAGTTCATCGCGGAATTTTTTAAGCTGCAAGAGGAAGAGCAAACTTTAAACAAAACCACAGAACAGGAAAACAGAATTAATGCAGTTCGTATTGATCTAATGAGATATTACTATTACCAAGAAAATGCTTTGCAGATTATAACCATTTCATGCCACATTGGGGGAATAAAAACCCATCATAAAATAAATTTGTGGATGTAAAAGGTAAAGGTGAGCTGATACTCACACTATTCTAAAATCAGATGTATTTCTTTTTTCCTTTTCTTTCTTTTGGCAAGAAAATAAGATGTATTTGCCGTTTGCAAACCAAATATAAATTAGGTTAAACAGCCGACCAGCAACTAAGTCAGAAGCACTCATTCTGGTATGAGTTCATTGTGCAATTACCATCTTTAAGCTCTCAAACCAACAGTTATAGTAAACGAACAATTCAAGATTCAGAGAACACAGAAGATTTTCACAGTCAAGGTAGGTAAAATTAACACTCTGTTCTCTATACCCGCATCATATCTGATTACCTGCTGAAAGTTGTTGTATCCATTCAAACTTGACATCTTAGGTGCCAATTGACAACATTTGCTTATGTTATCTGTTTTTTGCTTAAAATTTTAGAAATAGCAATAGAAAACATGTCTACTGACATGCTTTTGGTTCCAAAAAAATAATTCTAACAATGGAAACAAGAAATTTTTTTTTTTGCTATTGTTATCAATTATTTGGCTTGAATGCAAGAGAGAGTATCAGGACTACTTAGTTTTACAGAACATTTCATCATTTCTACTTTTACTCTAACCTGATGAACAAAATACGGTCGATAACTAAATCTCAAAACCCTTGTTTCTAAGTTTCTAAAAAACTGAACATATCTTTAAAATTATTTTTCAATTTTCTGAAAAATTAAAAACAGAAGTTTATTTGGAAGGTCAAGACCTCAATCCCATGTCAATTTTGCTAGGTTGAACACATTCGACAGTATTACTTTAAAAAAAATGAAGACTCAAACGAACATAAGTTTATAAAAACAATGTTTCCATAAACATGTGCATTTATGAAAAATAGTACTATTCCACAGTTTTATAAGAAAAACATAATATTAAATAAAATAAATAATAGATTTTACAATCATATTTAATCCGATACAAGATTATAATGATTTAAACATAGCTATGTCTAAATGCAATAGTATTGATGTAGCCAAAGGGTTTAGGGCAATTAGAACTCAACAATTAGGGCTAGAATAGGATTGATTGTGTTGGAACAATAGAAAGATAATTGAGTTTTTTTAAAAGAAACCTCTTGAATAAACATTCAAAATAACAAAAGATGATAATAATAATATTCTATCTAACATCACTTATTTATAATAACTAATATAAATCGTAATCAGATAGTAATCTTAATCCTAAATAAAGACTTAAAGTACTAAAATTCTAAGAAAGATAAGAAAAAGAATCTCAAACTAAATAAAATAAAAAAAATAAAATCCTAAGCTAACGAAAATACTAAATAAAATAGAATTCTTGATGCGCCTGCATCAGCCCCCTCGGGTTAGAAAAAAAAAACCTCGGCTCCGACGAGTAGGCCTTAATATACTTCTCAAAAATGTCCGGATTCACTTGTTTCAACTTCTCTTCATTACTACCTTTTGCTTCAAAATTTTCAGTAGATAAATACCCAGCAATTTTGCTGCTTGTGGGGCTTGAAGTTGCCAATTGCTTAGTCTTTTCTTTAAGAGGATATAAGTATACCTCTTGTTGTCCTTGTAGAAGGAATAGGTATTTGGCTTCGTCTTATGATCCATATCATGATCATACAACCAAGGTCTACCAACAAGAATATGACCAACATCCATTGGCACAACATCGCATAACGCCTCATCATCCAAGTTGTCTCTCATAGTGAATTTCACCAAACATTGAGTAGTTATTGGTACTTCGTGTCCTTTCTTTAACCACCCAATCTTATAAGGATGAGGATGTTTGCTTGTAGGAAGCTTTAATTTGTTCACTGCCTCTTTTGAATAATATTTTTCATGCTTCCTCCATCAATACAAGATCACATACTTACTTTCACAAACAACTCGTGTACGAAAAATACTCTCCTCCAATCTTCTTCTTCCTCATTTATTGTTGTTGTCATCACTCTTCGTACCACTAATGACTCAACTTGTGCAAGATACACATCAATTTCTTGTATTTCCTCATCATATTTATCATAAATGGGTTCTAATTCCTCCCTAAATTCTGCTAAGTTCACCTTTTTTTGTGGGCAAGCAAAAGAAGTGTGTCCCTTCTCCCCACAAGTAAAACATCGAGTATGGGAATTGTTGCCTCCTTTATTTGTAGAAAAACCAGAATTGTTTTGTCCACCATAAGGCATTATACTCTTGCCTTTATCGTTCCTTTCAACATTGGTTGCACCCCCATTAGTTTTATTGGTTGTGGTAGCTTCTCGATAATTTTGTTGGGATGTTTGGTAACCCTATCTTGCTTCAGAATCGATATAAAGGCTTTCTAGCACCATAGCGTAAAACTCGTTTTTTTGCTGATAGAGCATATTGACGAGCATCTTCAA